CAAAGTACCCTGCGTTCTATAACTACCAGACAGTAAATCAAAAGCTCCAGACTCCAGCTGAAGCTGCATACACGGCACATCCCTTAGAGATAAATCAACTCTGAAAACTTTTCAATTTTATTTGCTTTGCATTCTTTTCATAGGAAATTACGATGTGAGATATGCAGCCACAAAGAAGCTGAGATGAGAAGAAAACTCCAGTGGACTTCAAACCTCACGATCACCCTTTTTTCCCCACTTTAAACACTGTGATTTCGATCACAGCTCCAGCAAAACTGGATTTAATGCTTATTTTTGCTCCCCAGATCGTTCTCGTCGACAGACAGTTGGTATAAGTGGGTCTGTGAAAGGGGTAATCAAGGGTTATGATCCCGCATAAGGTTCTAAGTATTTCAGATATCTCAATATTCCTCCCTCACTTGGTTTTCATAATCTCTTTACAAGGCCGTAGAATTTCTTAATGATACAGTGTAAGATTTTCGTTCAGCACTAATAGTTTGGAGCATTCACTGCTTTTATAGAGACCTGTTGTTGGCAGAAATGTTTTGAAACTTGAAGGCCATCGTAATAAGCAACGGCGAATCTATTAAAGAGATAAAGCGTTTGGCATCGATCATTCAAAAGTACACATGTATTGGACTTTAGTGAACATCACAGTAGTAATTAAGTGCATATTTAGCCCTACAAAATCGCATGTGGAGTTTATCGATATATCGACTCAGTGCGTGTGTACCTTCGGATTATTGTGATAGTGTTCTGCCATTCTTAGAGGAGAATGATTTATTTTGAGCCGGAAGTGACCAGTGACTACATGTGTTACTCGCGGTCTCTAGAACAATTTGCACCGAACAACTCATCAATACATTATATTATCGCCTTCTTAGTTTGCTAGTTCTGTTCCCAGCCGCTTGTGATGGTAATGCTGTTAAGTGTTTAATGAACTTTCAATGCAAAATAATTTTATCTTACTCTAGATCCTTCAAGAAATTGATGACAGCTCCACTAAATGCTTAAAAATAATAGACGACAAACGTGGCAAGTTTCTAGAGTTTCTTATTTTTTATTTGAGGTTCGCGACCTGCTGAATGAAGGTGACAGATGCATTGTCCATTATGAGCGAAATAATAAAGACATCACGATACGTCCAGTACCACTTCGTGAGATCGACTTTTTCACCGATAATTTTTGTGTTCATTTCAATTTGCAATAAGAAGAGCGTTATGCTCCTCTTATTTAAAATCTGACGCTTCCTATCTTCCAGTTTCACAAGATTCACTACACTTTCCTTCTGTCTTCTTTCCTATCTATTCATTTCTTGTATTTGAGAAGAACCCATTCCCTCACACCTTTACTGGAAATTTTAGGTTAATCAAATCAAACAGTATCTTTCAAGATTTCGCAAGGATTTCTGTTCGCATTCATTACTTAACACCTTACGTAATCATTATGAATAATTTTGAATATTTTAGAAACTCCCAAACTCTAGTAATTTTTATCAGAAACTGTTGTTTACAAGACGAAAAGTCCCTTTTCAAAAATAATCTTTTCCTTTTACGACTAATTCGTATATTACGAAAATATTTTTTATAGATTTATGTTCTTGGTCTTTTCGTGACTTGCCATGCGTAACAAATTAGAAATTTTTGATGAATATGGGACGAAATTGTAGAAGAAATTGCAAATAACTTTGAATGAAAAGCTAGAATGCTCTACAGAAAATATGAGCTCCGAGGCGACGAGAGGTCGCTTTTGTTAGTTTCCAGAACTACATTAATTCCTAGCACTATGGCATTTCATAGTCACAATGGTCTCAAGTTGAGTATGGTCGTCTACCACCATGAGTGAATGATCGCATTGTTATCCCTGTCCTATGAAATCAGGACGCAGGCTGCTTTTTTCGCTCGCTCGCAGAGGGAGGCCACCACGAGTCATTGTAAAGACATTCGATCAGCTCTAACGAAGTTAAAAGTTGCCGAGAGCTTCTCTCTCATCCTTTAACTGAGGAAGCAACCAATACAAACCGGTAAGCTAGTTGACCGTAGTTTGTCAGATACATATCCACCAAGTGGTGTTTTCTCGCTGTGTTTCTCGGATCAGGTATCAATTAGTTGAAAGCAAAGCAACTATCGATATTATAATCACCTGACCAGTCTCATAGCTTTTCAGCTGTACGAATCCTAGTACTTCTAACATTCAGTTCGTTTATTCCTATTCTTCTTGAACCTCTATAAAACTGGTTGACCACGTCTTCCTGGAATTTTCGGGAAAACGTGGCTGCGGCGTTCCGTGAGGCATTGCTCGTGACTACCGGAGAGTGTTAAGGTGCATAGATCAGGACGATTCGCCGTGCCGAGCATCACAACCACTCGGCAATGGCTCCTTGATGTTATGATACCTATAGTTATTCAAATTTTGTGACCATTTTAGCGACGTTTCGCTTTTTTTTCGTTCATCAGTGGAGCCCTTCACTTCCATGTAAGAAGTTTCGGTACTTTTCCATTATCCGTAATCTATGTCGACTCCAGAAAAAAAAACACATTTCATGGTTGTTTTTGTTGTTCAAGTAACCGCTGAGTAGCTTAGATTGAAAGAATTCGAATGGTGTATCTCATTTTCAAGATGGATTTATCATTGCGCTAAAAGACAGCAGATAACATTTTGTTTTTCAATAAAACATTTCTCGCCGACCATAACCTTCTCTTCTGAGATTAACAATAAATCCGTAGATCAAATTTTGAGGATTTCAATAATGTATATGGTTTCTTAAGCGGACTTTGTATAACGCTCTAACAGCCAAAAGAATATTGGATTTCCCAAAACTGGAATATTTTGGTTATCCGTGCCTTGATTCGATCTTTCAGAGAAGCTTATTTTTTGGTCGTTTTCCATGTTCAAGTGATCATTCGATAGCTTGAATCAGAATAATTTGAATGGTCCATTTTGTCTGTAAGAAGGCTTCATTATTGCCCTGAAAAAGCAAAAATAAAAGTTTGTTTTCTATTCACACATTTCTCACTGACCACAGCTTTCTTAAAAGTTTCAACAACTGATTGATAGACCATATCTCAAGAATTCCAATAATGTTTTTGGTTTTCTGAATGGACTTCTTTATGCGTTATAGGTGCCAAAAAAGATTAGGTTTTACACTCAGCGCTGGGCATGTTTTAGCCGAATAGGCTATGCTCTAACATTGCCAAAAAGTCTGTGGACTGAACGCCAGCTTCATTCGATGGCCTTTCTTGTACAGACGTTCGGTTCGTAAAAACGCCATGTTTCAGTAGGAATAAGCTGCGTCTTTTTCAGTACTTGAGTAAGCTCAAAGGCTTATAGTTGAGGGAATCGATGAAAAGCAGCAGAAAACAATGAAAAGGCAAGTGGTGTGCAGTGGACTGGTACGCCTGTTGCGAAATCTAATTTAAATAGGTAAAAGTGTGCTGGCTTGGCGCCAATGTGGCGAAATCTTATCCACATACCTCCAAAGCGTTATGGCTTAAAGCTGACGTCGCGCTGCGAGAAGCTTAACATCCTTTCTGCAGCAGCAGCGCAATAAAAGTCCTTTTCACAAATCAAGAATGCTGTCGAAATTGACAGTGTTCAAGCTATCGAACGATTCCTAAAAGTTTAAAGGAAAACCTTTGTTCAGCAAGAAATGTTTAAATGAGAAACATAATTTTATTACTGCTCTTACAGCGCAATAGTATAGCCATATTGAGAGCAATGTACACCATTGAAATTTACGAGATTTGTGCTATTTGATAATTATTAGATCTCACACAAAAAGCAAAAGGCCCTTTTTTTCAAGGAATCGAAGTAAGGAGCGAATAATATGAGTGATTTTGTTTTGCGAAACCCAATCTTCTTTTGACTGTTATACTGCAATAAGAAGTCCGTTCAGAAAACCAGAAATACTGTTGAAATCTTCAAAATTTTATCTATCGAATACTTCTTAAAACTTTGAAGGGAAAACTCTGGTCAGCGAGAAATGTTTGAATGAGGAACAAAATGCTATTTTTGCTTTTTCAGCGCAATAATACAGCCTTTTTGCAAATGAAATACACCCTTCGAATTCTTTTGATTCGAGCTACCTAATAACTACTAAAAGCATCAAAAACGACCGAAAAACAAACTCTTTTTGAAAGTTCGATACAAGATACGAATAAAGGAAAAGTACCGAACCTGAAATGTTTAGATCTTCAGAATTGCTCGACATTACATCAGAAACTTTATCGCCCTTGCAAATCCTTTGCGAACCTTGTTTCATCCGGAATGAGATAAAAGAAGTGTGCACTGGACTTACTAAGCCATGACTACTGCTTGAATTCGGTTTTTCTTGGTGATAATTTCACTACTTGGTGTTCGTAGAGCTGAAAATGAGCGCGGGGAGGAGGCATGGCTGAGTGGTTATGTTCCTCGCTACGAAACTGATCCACACCCTCAAACACTCTCCGGCAGTCAACAACGCGCACTATGGACACCCCAGGCAGGCTATCCTCGAGATTGCAAAGAGACGTGCTTAGCTGGTATTCCACGACGTTCAAGAAGAGGACCAAAAAATGAACTGAATGCTAGAAGTACTGGTATCCGCACAGTGATGTAGAGTGATGCGCAAAACACTGTGAGACGGATCAAATAAAGTGCCAAAAAAAAAGAAAATGAACACTAGTAATGTAGAATGATGCGCAAAATTTCCGCGTCAGGCAGAACCCGAACCCCCATCTCACTCTATTCGAGAGCACGTGCTCTTACTCGTTGCACCACTGACACCCGTTTTGAGCACCACTCTTTCTATGCTAAAACGCGTCTATTCATCAACAATCAACCGTTAACAGCCTGACCCAGATTGTCGATATCGACATTGAACCCAGTAACGCCGACAAATATTGGCTGTTGACAATCAAATAGAATTCTTTTTATTAAGCCGCATTTGGTATGATGTACGATGAGGTACGGTGGTATGATGTTATAGATATTCCAGTGGTGTAGAATGATACGCAAAACTTCCGCGTCAGCTGAGACTCGAACCCACATCTCACTCTATCCGGGAGTGTGCGCTTCAAACCGTTGCACTATTGACGCGCGTTTTGTTCACCACTTTTACGTAGTCGGTATCAACATTGAAGTCAGTCACGCTAGCAAATACGGTTTATTGACGACCAAATACAATCCTAGCCAAGGCCGTTGACGGTTGGTTGTTGACAGATAGAAAGAGTGATGAGCAAAACGGGCGTCAGTAGTGCAATGGGTTAGTGCAGCGTTCCCGGATAGAGTGAGATATAGGTTCGAGTCCCGGCTGGGACGAAGGTTTTGCACATCACTATGTATTACTGGTATATCAATAACATCATACCACCACTAATGGCGGTCAAATAAAAGGAATTTTATTTGATCTTCAAAATGAACACCATTAAGTACTCAGATCACTCATTGTGTGATGAAGCGATCTTCTTCCATTGCACACTTTCTACTCTTTGAAGACACGTTTTTATTTTATGACACTCTTCTAATTCGACTCACAGTTTCTATCAGTGTGTGGATCCTACTACTTCTCTAGTATTCAATTCGTTTTTTCGTCTTCTTTGAACTTTGTAGAATGCTGGTTACGCACATCTCCTTGTTGCCGGAAAGACTGGGAGGAGGGGGTGAGGCTCGGCTCCCACCGCGCCGTAGCGAGCATCACCACCACTCGGCTACGGTCGCCAATTGATATTCGATAGTATATTGTTGTCGATGCAGTGGTTGGCCTCTGGCTCCTTCAAAGTGTTGCGAAATCGTTCGGGACCATTCCATTTGCAGTGGTGCAGGCGATCTCGTCACATACTGTTTTGGTAACATACGAAGTTCCGCCTACTCCCCAAAGAGACAAATAAGTTCTTCAGTCATCCGTTCGTTTGCGTAGGTGCTCATTCTTACCATCTTCACTTGTCCCTGCTTACTTTATGCTTTGGAATTGTTCTTTGATCTCTTCTCTCGTATAGTCGTCACTTCATCAATAATAATCTGGAGGTCAAAAAGTAGTCGGCGTGCTTGATCTATCTTTGGCTGAAGTATTGTTGTTTGTATCACTAGAATTAGCATTGCATTACTATTAGTACTTCATTGGTACTAGTATCGTATCTGTATCAATATATGTATTAATATTATCACGCCTTTATTGGAGAATTTTGACGTTGACACTTTTCTGGCAGTGTTGTAATGTTTTAATCTTATCGCAGATAGTGTGGTAGCAGAGCGATGAACTCGGCGGTGTAGTGGTAGCACGCGCCCCCTGTATAAGTGAAGTGCAGGTTCAACTCTCAGCTAAGGTCGACAGTTTTGCATATCACTCAGATCTTCGAATATCTCGTATATGACCGTTCAGAACGTGCAATCGTACGATTAATAAGGTTTCATTAAAGAAAAAAGGAGCTGCATAGACGGTTGAACATTATTATGGAAGTGGTGCTGCAATAAAATTGATGTCTCAGCATTCTTGATGATTTATTTTATGGAATAACGTATTCTGATACTTCCAGGGTTCTTAATTGTAGTGTAAAAGGTTAGAGCTGTAACACTCCGCGTTTATCGTTTTCCTCGAGATGTGCTGTGCACTCAACACCACTCATAGCTTTTTGGGATATTTGATTGCAGATTACCACAAAATTTATCAACTCATTAGACTCATTCGTTTGTCCTTCCAAAGAAGTACCAATACTCCAGTGGAAAGAAAACTTGGCTTGCCTAGTACGCGAAGCTGAATAAACTTCTGCGTATATCCCTTTGCGGACGGCGCCATTTTCGGTTGGCGCGCCGTCCGGACGTCTACGAAGAGAGGCTGCCGGCGCGCTCTTTTATGTTAGTGTTGTAGTTTTCTAATGGAATTTATAGTTTTTTCGTCTATAAGTGGAATTTCTGTGTCACTAAATGGTGAAATATGATAGAATAGACTTCAAGGTTATTTTTTGTTATTAATGGCGTAATTACTTCAATAATGATTACCAACTCTCTTCCTTATAACAGACAAGTACCATTGGTCACACATCTTTCGGCACGATGAAGCATTCTGTTGCTCTTGCCTTAATAGGATGCCTTTGCCTTTTTCTAAGGGCAATTTGTTCCCGTTTCTTCCTTTGTTTGCCTTAGTCGCCGAGAAGAGTGGAAGACAGAGCGGCAGCCTCGATGGCGTAGTGGACAACTCAGTGAGCCGCCCCTGAGATAGGTAGATGATCGCGGGCTCGAAGAGGTTGCAAGTCTTACTCGTGCCTCATCATTGTGATGATATTTTACATAGAACCATGCCGTCAAAAGTGGATCAAGCGGTAAATGAAAAGATAAAATCGAGAAGTATCTGAGAGCAGCCATGCTGCTGATCAAGGGCACTAGGTCACCTATTGGCTCGCCCTTAGTTTCTCTGTTCACCACCTAAAAACACGCCACGTGCTCTCGTGACTAACTAGGCTGAGATCTCTCATTGAGCGAAATCACTGGATTCAAAAAAAAACGTTTTAATTTTTATTGAAGGTCCACGAGCTGTTGGCAGATGGTGACGGATGCATAATCCATTATGAGCGAAATGATAGAAACTTACGATACGACCAGTACCTGTTCACCAGATCGACTTTTTTACACACAGATTTTCAATTCATAATGAAAAGGCTTCTGTTTTCTTATATCTTGAACATAGTGCTTCATCATCTTCTCTCTCACAAGGCTCGCATTCTCTTTGTTGTATCACCTTTCCTATTCCATCTATCAATGTTATCGCTTTTCAGCCGAATGTAAAAGCTAATAATCAAAACTTCACGAATATTTTTTTTTGCTTTCCACCTTTCAACACCTCACGTAGTTTTATGGACCACACGATGCAGTCGGATGGAGTCTGTTGCCTAACTTTGATTCGTCCTAGCCATGCGCTTTGTTTATTCTGGACATTTTGAAGAATTCTTCAAGACTTAAGCTAGTTTATTTTTGTTGAAAACTTTAATATGTATGGAGTTCGATCGCATAAATCGTTAGCAGTTTTCTTTCATTACTGCGTCATACGCTTCTAGTATAAAAGCTAGCAAAATCTTTATTAGAAATAATTGCGTGAAGAGGGAATTATCAATAGCTTGCCAACGTGCTACATTTAGCAGCACGCGGCGTAATGTGAAATATTTCTCGGGTATTGTAGTTGCGCCGTCGCGGTCGAACCTACGGCAAGATATACAAGAATGATTAGGACAGTTATTGAACAATCTCGATGATTGAAATTATTTGTGTTTTATGAATTCATGCTTTCCTGTCTTCTTGCCAGACTTTGCAGACTAAGAATTTCTATGGATATAGGACGAAATTGTGGGAATATATGAGAAAAACGTTATATCAAAGGCTGAGATGCTCTTAAGAACTACGACTTTTGAGGGCAACGGAAATCAACACCTGCGGGCTTTCAGAACTTCTATAGTCCTGATAACTATCGAATTTTATTGAATAGCCGATTATTCTCTGTTGTCGCGATTGATTATATCGCTATTTCCGCTCTATGAGCCTAAATGCTTTGTGCTCTTTTGGTCTCCATTTTCATTTCGCTTAACTGTAACTTTAAGGCTGAGATGAGACGTCAACGGAAGAACTATCATATTCCAGCTATTTCAACACCACCTTCAGTTTTGTAGAGGTCGTGTTCTTCCAGTACTAAGGCTGGGAGGTGTTACCAGTTGTTGAACCACAAAACACAAAGAATGTTCGTCCTCCACCGCGGCTTTCAGGCTAAGAAGAAGTCTGATATCTTCACCCCACAAATCATCACCCTTTTGGTATTAGCCACAAAGTTGCAAGTCCTTCTGATCCACAAGGACCTACGACTGCCCAGCGTCGTAGAGACTTGAAGAAGCTCCCGGCTAAGCTGAGCTCGAGAATCCAGGGAACAAAACAACTGGACCAACCAAGAAAACTCGCTTCAGTACTCCTCCCACTCGGTGCTTCCGTTTGCGACGTTGGACGTTGAGACGACGACTAGTGAGGGGCGATCAAATTCTTGTACAACAGGATGTCTTTTGAAAAAGATGAATATGTTCACGACACGCCATGAAAACTGCTCTGGAGTTATACCTATAACATCAGAACAAACTCCACAGGCGACGAGCTGCATGCTTTCTTAAGGTTGCTGGTCATATCAGTTCCATAGGGTTGCCCTACAAGAAGAGAAAGCAGGAAGACCGACTTTAGACAAGCCGAAGAAACTTCCGATAGCGATGTTTCCGTTACAAAATGCAGTATTCAGCGACTTTGTCGTTCACCCGCAATCCCATATAGTCACACGAAATGCTGTCACTGCGTCTGGTCAGCCTTTGCCTTCAAATTTCCGCGTGAAATGAAGGTTTGTATCATCAATCAGTACTCACCAACATACACAGTTGACGAAAACGAAATTGACCTGTTTTATAACAAGTCAAGGAAAGTCATCCGCACGACCCAGATACGCCCGTTCCTCAGAAGCTCATTTTTCAAGAGGACAGATGACTGCTGATGGGCGCGGGAATCTCCAACAGCACGATTCAATCAGGATCGTTAGGTACGTACCAACAATGAATGAAGCCGTTTTAAACACTTGAGATGTACTGAAGTACAAGATTAATCGCCGCCTCTTACGTGCGAAGATTCGATTCAGCTATAAGCTGGAAAAAGATGATGTCATAGCACACGAAAAGCAAAACAACTTCTCTAAGACAGGAATGTTCTCTATAAAATTCTCTCCTCGTACTAGTGGCAGATAAAAGAAGACACAGCCAAAGGCTATAATCTGCTCGGCGGACTCAACACTTGAACCAAGCTAGCTTCAGTTTAAACAAAAATTTGTCCCGCAACTCCACTACCACCTAGGACTTTCTGGAAAACAGAAGGGAACTGAAGTTTAATATTCCTTCAACACACCTAACAAGACCGTTGATAAATACCAGCAGTAGAAATCTTTAGCCGTTCATAGAAGATGTAGTTTGAAGAAATGCTCTCAACCTCCCCAACCATTATGTTCTTCGGTCCGCCCCGATGATAAAGATTGGGTTAACACTACATTACGCCGTGGTATGGAGTTGACAACTGAACGGTTTTATCCAAATT